AGGGAGTAGTAAAATACCGGTATTTTTCTACTCCCTGGCCTGAATATATGAACATGTGACCATGTACATAATTATGTGTGACCCTATCTTTGGAAATAAAAAAATTGTGGGAAATAAAATAAAAAATCGCTCGCTCGCACCGATTTTCACAGGCTCATGACCTGAGAAGTGAGAATCAACTTTATTTTTTACCATGGCCTAATATTTACATGTAGTCATGTACAATGTACATGATTGTACAATGATCACACAGCAATGTCTGTACATGATTGTATGTGTGTACATGATTGTATCATTAGTAGCAAACCCAGACCTTACCAATGCTTGGTTGGGTCGGTGAGACGGACAGCACTGCATGCCTGGCCACGGTTGATGCCAGTCAAGGAAAGAGTTCATGATTCAAGTGTAGTGTAATGCAAATGGCGACATGTTTAGTCATACAATGATGATGTACATAGTACTTTAGTAGTAGCTCATGCTGAGGCTCACCTCTGTAGTGAGAATTGCACAGGATGGTGTCATACAACCAGAAGAGGATGAATATTGAGTTGCAACTCCGAGTCAGCACGAGCGTAGGTCTACGTCGTTGACTCCAGTAAACCGTGGCACCTGCACGGAAATCGTCTGAATCAGTTTCCGGTCTGCAGGCAGCTGCCAGTGCCTGTCATGCATGGCCGGATCGCATCTGCTCCGACGTAGCCTTGCACACAGGTATCATCACGGGGCAGAAACATTCAGCGCCTGTGATCATAGACCATGATGATGGGCAGCATGGACGAGTGATAAAAGTTACAACAAAAATGGTCGTGTCCGTTCCCGAAGGGAACTCACAACGGCCGCTAACCCCCGGTAAACCCTAGCGGAAGATGCAGCGCCTAACGATGGGGATGACGGGATAAGTCTCACAACCACTGGCACAAGTGCCGAGAAACGCCATTAGCCGCAGGAGACGATAACGAGACGGGACGAGTGATAAGTAATGGAATAAGGTAGAGGTAGATGTAAGAGACAGTGTTGTCAATGCACCAAATCGCGAAGGAGGTAACCAACCAGCAAAGGGTATGTTTACGGCGAACTTTGACGCTTTGTCAACCATGGTCAACAGACTCGCTAAAAGTTAAACATGTACGTAATTATTATGTACATGATTGTACATGTACTTGCATGCAGTAACGCCACGTTCGCTACACTGTGATGCTGGTACGCCTACTGTTCGTGTAGTGATGGAATCCTGGACTAGTTAAATATCTAAAAACAGAGAGGTTCCAGGCTGTCCAGGAGAGTGCGCACTACTCTGAGTTTCACGCACTAAGCGATCATCAGACAACAGCAATGAGTAAAATTAATCTGGATCAGTACTGGTTTATATACCCACACATGTACATGTACATGTACATGACTTGTAGAATGTCATGTAGAATGGTAAAGGTATTAAAAGGCATTTTTTTCTTATCTCCCCTTGTGCATAATTTCTTCGCTAAATTACCACCCTTGTGATGCTACTTATCCCTATGTTTCATTGGCTGTGGCTGCTTGTATTTCATTTGAAGAGAATGCCCGAAAAAAACTGGTTCATGAATTTCGGAGTCCTTATTGATGATGATGGTGAAGAATAGCTTGAGATTTGTAGTTTTTCTTTCCCTGTAAAGGTATTCCGTAGCCAATTCTGGCCGTATAGGTAGAGCCCAAGGTGCTCGACACCTCTTGTTTCAATGAGCCCCATATACAATGTACAGTGAAACCTCGTTAGGAAGAACACTGATAAGACAAATCGAAATGTTTGCCTAAGAAGAACTAGTATTCGTAACTGAATTGGATAAAACCCTGTGTATTCACTGGGTAAAACATAATGGATAAGAAGAACTCCCGTTATTGCGAACAAATATAATTGGTCCCTTGATGTTCGTCCTAAAGAGGTTCACTGTACATGTAGTAAGGGCGGTGCTCATTTCCTCTCCCTCGTCGCATTCAGGTATCCATCACGTCATGTACTTTCTTTCACGTTCCCACTTACATGCACTGTACTGTAAAACATGTAATTTTAGGTGCATTAAAATTTCGGTGTCAGGGACCTGCCAGGTTTCAGGTGTAATGTAAAATTAGGTGGCCAGCTTCCCCTTCACATACAGTGCATACTCTAGTGCCTTTTAGGTGTAATTTAAATTTAGGTGCCTGTTTTCTCTACCGAAATCACCGAAATTAAAGTTACACCGAAAATAACATGTTTTACAGTATCTCTTCTATCTACAATGTACACGTACATGTATAGTAGTCTGTAGTACTAGGATGCAGATACTGTACATGACTTTTACAATGAACAGTACCATTCAGGGAGTCGTAAAATACCACTCCCTGGTACCATTTTTATTATGATGTACATGTACATGACTGTAGTCATAGTCATTATGTCATTATGGAGTTGTCTACCGAAACTGTGAAAGGTCAAGATTCCTACTGCACACACACACAATCATCACCAAATTATGACGGCTAAATCTACTGCCGCAAATACACGTTACGATGTACAGTACCTGGCACATGTACAAATGTAGTTATGCAATCAAGTACCGGCTTACGTAAGGTATCGTGAAACCACCTTCATCGTTTCGCATTCCAAACACCGTGTTTTGTAACACCATCTCTGTCTTGCAGAAGACTAGTATAGAGAGAAGATTGTGTTTGCCGTGTAGACGTTCCAACTAACCTTTAACAAGCGACGGTACTTCATATAATAGGAAAGAAAAGGACAAAGGAACTGCAAGGAACTACGGTTTCTTGTCAAGCTTTTGTGTTCAATCTTACACTTCAATTGAGTGTTCTATTTATTACCGAATGTGGGTTGTCTTTTTTCTTTGGTTCTCACTTTATGGTTTCACGTGATTGGCTTTGTGAATAATCCCGTTCTGACCAAGGAACTACTTGTACAAGTTACTAGGACGCAAAACGGTCCACTAACATAGAATTCTTTTTGTAGATCATCACAGGCATCTTGGTGTCCTTTTGATGCCAATCTTTCCTGGAATCACCGTGTTGCTCACATACGCAAGAGGACAGGCCATAGGTACAATGTCAATGACGGTATAATTATACACGTGGTCACACCGCGGGTGTCTGTGTGAAAGCACTTCGCGCTTTGCATGAATTTATCACCACATTGTCTTCTCTGAATAATTGTTGTTGGTATCACACTTCTTTTAGTTATCATTATCTTTATGATTCTGGCACGTCACGGTGGGTGCGATGGAGCACATCATAGCATCACAAATTGCATGCAAACTTGCACACCATTGCATACCTGATGAGGGCAATTTTGCCGAAACGTTTTAATAATTGATTGAGAAACGAGTTCGAGTTTGCAGAGTGAATGGGCAGAGAGCGGGTCTGCTCTGAAACCTTTTTTCCTTTGAATGAAGCTGCAGGAAGCCTCACCACTGCTACATACATGTACTAGTAGTACCGGTAATTATTATTATTATTTTCATATCGATCAGACACCGAGAGTGAGAGTCAGACAGGTGATTCGATGTTGCCGCTGTGGTTAGTCTACAATCTGACGGAACTACCAATAACAACAGGGTAGGTCTACCGATCACATCCGGATACCATATTAATTATTTCGTGCAACTTTAGATGCGTATATCTGTGCAATGCATCAACGGAACTTGCTCAAATTTTTTTCTCCAGCCCTTGAAAGCAGGTGGAACCGTTAGCAAGCACAAAAAGTTAGAATTTCGAAACTTCATTTTTGACCCCACGAAACCATAGTCCCCCTTAATGATAATCTTTATTTCAGTAGTACCCAACGGCTAACATAAGATAATGCAGCCGTGCAGATGGTGCAGGGTACCAGGAGTCAGCACCCCCCTCCCCCATCTCAAAAAGGTATACTGGGATGGTACCCCTAATTGATAACTTGGAGTCTCGTTGCTGGTGTGAATGAGGTCGAGCAGAGAGCGCATTTGGGGCAGGTGGAGCTACATATCACTTGACTGAGATACTCCTGCCGTTATAACCTGGTTATAAATTTGTTTGGTATGTATGACACCAAGTTGGCCAAACAGGTGTGGCTAACTGAGCACAGAGTACTGCAGCCAATCAGCACACTCTGATAGACCAGAATTGGCTAGGCAGGTGATGTTCTAACTCGTAAGTACCTGTACACTCTGTACATGTGCTGGCAGTGCCACAAGACATTAGTTTGGAAACAGAGTATTTAATGCTACTAGTACTAGCAGTCCAAGTTGTTGCTGTTGTACATGCCACTTGTAGTAATTACTTACAAGTCACAATACTCACTAGTTTCAATGAAAGATGCAGACCGTGAATGCAAACAATACTGTTTAGGTTTTGCTGTGCACCATGGAGGCAAGAAACACACATTCCTGGCTCCCTGGCGTACACGACATTGTAATTCCGAGTCAGTTACCGGGTGACGGTGATTTAGTGTGAAACTCGGCGTCAAAATACAGCTTTTGCTCTGTCTCGCTCCTGTTCTCTCTCTCTCTCTCTCTCTCTCTCTCTCTCTCTCTCTCTCTCTCGCTCTCGCTCTCTCTCTCTCTCTCCCTCCCTCCCTCCCTCCCTCCCTCCCATTGTACGGCTTGTAAAGCTGAGGCCCAGACGACGGATCAACTGGATTTTGGGGCCTGACACCAACAGTCCTGTACTACTGCATGTGAAAGTATCACAATAATTGAGCAGCATCCTTGCCGCAGGATCATGTCTAGCATTACTTCCAGTATGACACTAACCTTGGGACCCGAACAGCACTGGATTTAAGACAAAGTATCTCAGCATACTTCAATACAAAACATAGACCAGAAATTCCAGGGTCGAATGGCCTCTCATTAAACCTTTATAATGCTAGAACGTTGGCATTGGTCTAGTACACATTGTTACATTACTCACACAGAAAGCAAGGACTCGGAAAGATACGTTGTGGCAACTCAGAGCTCCACGTTCACACAGCACGTCACTCGTTTCTGTCAGTGCATTATTCACAATTCAAGAATTGTACGAAATTCGAAAGTGAATCAAAACCAGTGATAACGTTTTAAGATACTCCTTCAAGCAATGATAAAAATTGGCTCAAGACTCTCAGAACTAGTTAGAACCTATTTTGGACTATAAGGAGAAGCGTCCAGCGCTTCACTACATAGTTCCGTCTCTGATGCATACATTCTTGTGTGTGCTGTGTACTGCTTAGCCAAGCATTGCATGCCGCTCTGTAGTCGGCAAGTACTAGTCAGTACGTTGTGTCAGAAATCAAGCTCAGATTGGCATGCAGAGATTGGCATGCAGAGATGCACAGAGCAAGTCTAGCTGCGACTGGATGTGCACCCGGCATGGCATGCGCAACCTGGGATGACAGAATCGGAACGGCCGCAGCCTATTCCCACAAAGAAATGAAGATGCTGTGTGTGTGTGTGTGTGTGTGTGTGTGTGTGTGTGTGTGTGTGTGTGTGTGTGTGTTCCATTAACTACAGTTATAGTTGCTGTATCTGTCTATGACATTGAGCACTCTCTGCAGCTCGTGAATCAAAGGGGGTTTGTAGTTGCTATACAGTGGTATTATTACCTTCTCTCTCTCCTGACTGTGTTCAAGATGAGCTGCATGCCATACATACTGCTACACCCCCGTGAACTGTCCAGCTAGCACTGCAACACCAGCCAGTACCAGCAACCCGTAACCTGCCATGGTTCTGTAGGAGAGCAGCAGGTTCTGCCGCAGGAACATCAGCTGACAGGCCAGCGGTAGGATGATCTGCGTCACCAGTCCCGTCGTTGCGCCCACGTACCTGTGTACATGTATGTGTGAATGCATGTGTATATGTGAACACATGCAGCAGGCAGCGGCCAGACCATACATACATGAACACAGCAAGCTCCAAAAAACCTCCCAATGACAACGAACGGTCAGACTGATCACTTGGCACTGCAGGCAGAAAGCTGATGGGAACTGACCACCTTCTAACTATAAACAATACTACCGTATTTTCCCGAGTATAAGCCACCCCCTCCCCATTTTTTTTGCCACAAAATACTGACATCTACTTGTACTGTAAACCGCCTAATGTTCGCGACACTAAATTTTCGCGATTCAGAAAAGTGGACCGGTTCGCGACGTTTATTTTTCGCGATTCTAGCTATCCAGACACCATACACTATTATGATCTGCTGAAGGACATAAGCCTATTTTTGGTATTGCGAGAGTTATACAACGCCTCTTGTACGGGCACAGGATGAAGAAGGTGGATCATAAACTGTGGTATATAGCTACTGGTAATTCACCTTTGAATGTATGATTGTACATTATCAGTGCTAGTATGTGCATGCAATATGGACATAAATATGGAATCATGATAAGACATGCGCACACTCCTCAAGTACTAGTAGAGCAACGAATGTTCAGAGTCCAGTTGACGTGAAGCACTTCCTGATCAACTCCTTTTCCTGTGCAAGCTTGGCTAGGGCCTGCACTCGCCACTGTGCATGCTGCTCTTTCATCACCGACGTCTTCAGGTTCACATTCACTGGCGATCCTCGTCAAGACTGCGCTTCGCGGACCTCCGTTGCGTACCACTCGCAGAACTTTTCCTTCATGGCCTTCTTGAACGGATCGTTGAAGCCCTTGTCCAGGGGCTGCAACTCTCCAGTGCAGTTAGCAGGAACGTAAATGATCTCAATTTTGTTTGCTCTCAAAAGGTTACGTACAGATTCCACTCGATGGGCTGCAAAGACGTCGAAGATGGCGAGCGCCCGCTGGTCCTCAGGTCTGCATGTACGAGTAATCACACGACCAACGCCCAACTGTTGGAGATGTGGGGTGACACTGATACCATCTGCGTGAAGGTCGCACAGCGTCGCCTAGAGTGGCTGGGCCATGTTGCCCGAATGGACAGTAGCCGGATGCCGAGACAGATCCTGTTTGGCTCACTTCCCACACGCCGCCCAGCACATGGCCCCCGCAAGCGCTGGAAGGATTGCGTTGTCTCCGACCTAAGAGTTTGTGGCCTCGCCAAGGAATGGTACCCTATCGCCTGTGAGTCCCGCGTTGACTGGCGGACTATGTACGCCGAGCCTGTGGAGAATGTGCCTCAGCCTGACCCAGTGGTACGTGCGGATTGCAATCGGTCATTCTCGTGCCCTGGAGATCGTGCTCGCCACAAATGTGTGGTTGAGCGGGCAAAGCCGATTGCTGAGCAGCGAGGGGCTTGCCACTGTGGAGATTGTGGGCGTTGGTTTCGAAGCAAGGGTGGTCTAGCTGTTCACCGCTGTTCCGCACCTCAGCCTCAGCCTTCCGAGCCCCGGCAAGTCTATGTGCAGGATACCTGCTGTGCTGCGCACTGTGCTGTGTGTGCCCGCTGCTTTCGGTCTGTGCAAGGCCGCGGTCGTCACCGGTGCTCGAGGACTGGCCCGCGCCCGACTGCCCAGCAGCGTAATTCGTTCAGCCATGTATGCGTGTGTTCTCGCCGGTTCCGTTTGCCCCACCATCTCCGGCGTCATCAGGCTGCGTGCTCCATCTTCCTCTCTGATGCCCCTCCGGGGCCCACGTGACCCCTGTGGCAGTGGCTCTACAGGACAGGACAGGATGTACAAGTGTAGTACACTACAAGTAGTACAGTACCATACCAGTCGATCGATGTACATGTAGCATCACTCGTACAAGTACTCGCACTTGAAAATTTGAATTCGCGCTGTCTAATTTTCGCGATCTGATGGCCATCGCGAAAACGCGAACATTTCTACGTCGCGAATATTAGGCGGTTAACAGTACGCTATTTATCACCGTTAATTTGATCAGTTTCCTTGGAGACAAGAATGTCAAAATGAACGTCTCAGTGTTGATTTGATCATCGGAGTATAAACCGCACCCCTTTTTTGGGGTGAATTTTGAGTGTTCAAAGTGCGGCTTATAATCACTGTCTTGGCTGCTGCTAGCACGCACTACTACGCGGACGATCTCATTTTTTAAATACAGTAAAACCTGTGACTACCGACCACCCCTTGGTTCCAGCAAAAGCGGTCTTTAGTACCAGGTGGTCTTTAGTTGGAGGTTTGCACTGCGTGACCATATATGGATCCCATTAGATGATATGTATGTCAAAATGCAGGCCAATACAATTCCCCAGAACTTGCGCAATATCATTCTTATTTTAGGTCAAACAACACTTGGAGAGAAAGACGGAGAGATGGAGAGAGTCAGAGAGAGAGAGAGGGAGAGAGAGAGAAGAGTTTGATTTTTTGCAGACATCAAATTCAGCTGCTACTTCTGAAGCCAGGAGTCAAACGCTCCCTGGCCCTGTGTATGTTTCGTTTTGCGCTGGGCTTCAAATTTGTTCATGCAATCAACCGTACCGACTGTCCTTGTTGTGCAGACTTCTCAATTGCATGAACGCGATCCGTCAGCATCAGGACCTTGTGGTGCTGCATGGTTTATGGATTCCTTGATGCCATCGTCGATTCGTCTGTATGACTGGGGTGACGGAGCCGCTCAGTCTTCGTTTCTCCTCCGAGTAGTAACATCGATCAGAGAGCGCGTCCGATGCGCTCTCCAAGACGTTTCCTATCATGTTTATTCTTCACAGGGCTTGAAACTTTGACAGGTGCAGTGCAGTCCACACCGACTGCACAGTCAAAATGACCTGCGTTCATTTGTTCAGCTGTAGTATCGAAAGATTCCTTTCACTTTCAGGACCTTGGGAAAATCAGCAAAATTTCAAGAAGGAGCTTCGAGCAACATTTGATTTCCTACATCGCGGTCGCTAGTTACGGGTCCAAAGTTGTCTTTGGGACAAGAATAAGCGGTCGCTGGTCGCGTTCAGCAGGTAGTCGCAAGTCACAGTGCATTTTGAACGTGAGACCGTCCGTGCCTGGTGAAGTGGTCGGTAGTACCAGGCTGGTCGCTAGTCACGGTGGTCGCTAGTCACGGTGGTCGCTAGTCACGGTGGTCGCTAGTCACGGTGGTCTTTAGTTACAGGTTTTACTGTAGTTCTGTCTAGTTTCAGTCGGATTTCATCACTCGATGCACGTGTACTAATCAGGTTCAGAGTGTAGATTTAGCAGTCTATTCTCAGCGGTGGATATAGCCTTGCTACCCCCCCCCCCCCCCCCCCCCCCCCGCGCTCTACTAGTGACGTGCATGTGGTCAGTATGGCAACATTCGTAACAGAACCGTATATGACAGTCAGATTTATCGGTGCTCTGTGCAGCAATATCAACTGAGAGCCAAGGCTCCAAGAGGATTCAGCGGCATAATTCTACATGTACAAGTACCAGCGACTAAAGTATTGCCCCTCAGTCGGTAAGCACCCGCGCCCCTTGCCCACTGACATGCAGACAGGACCGTAGACAGGAGAGACAGCGGACATTGAACGCACAAAGCCAGCACCTACCGGATGAAATCTGCTGGTCTAGCAGCATGCTGGGAAATCAGTATCCATGCCAACGTGGTGATGCAGTTGAAGATGAATATTGCAGGTTGGCTGTAGTGGGTGCATGTTACACGGGTTTGCACACAGAATATCACACAAAGTCACAAGCATCCATGTGTATCTGTGATGTCTGTCAACAGTGAGTCACTGCATTGTGTGTGTGTGTGTGTGTGTGTGTGTGTGTGTGTGTGTGTGTGTGTGTGTGTGTGTGCGTGCGTGCGTGTGTGTGTGTGTGGGGGGGGGGGGTCTGATAGTGGAACGGGCAGCTCAACACTGTATACAGTATTTTCTTCTTAGACTCTGGCGTAATACTTTTAAACTGAGTTTCCTTCTATTGCCCGAAAAAAGACAGGACAGGGGCAGTTCCATTCAGTGACTGTCCTGCCAGCAGTCACAACCACTAGGTAATTCATGGCCTGTTATGATACTGGATGTACCACGTATAGCATGAGAATGTGATATATTTGCAAATGAAGATTAAGCGCACTTGGATCAATAGGGGATTCGCGTACTGAGATTGCACCAAGCCGGCAAGCGAGATTGACGGGGGGGGGGGGGTGCAACATACCTGATGTGGGTGAATCCTAGCACATTCTGCAGTGTGCGAACACGTAGCAGATACGCACGCAGTGGAAATCTGGCAATGAACTGAATTGCCAGCATGACGCGGATGTTGAACACAGCCAGGTTGTCAAACGAGAAGTTGTCCAGAAACACCTGGAGGTGAACATCATGTCATGTCAGTGCAGAGAGAACATTCAGGTGCAAATGCTGGTCATTAGGTGCTAGGATGGTCAGGAGTGACGCACTGTGGTGTGTGATATCACCGAAATCATATGTGCAGAGCTCCAGATGTCATGCTGGCATGTATTGTGCCCTAACATAGTAGGCAGGTTAAGCGTGGCAACATTTGAATCACATGCAGGCACTCATAGTGTAGCCCAGGGGCGGATCCAGGATTTTTCCAAGGGGGGTTCAATTTTTTCCCACCCTACCCACAATGACAAAATGATGACATACACATGTACATGATTGTATAACAAGTTCACACGTTCGCGTTATGGGTACAGCACCAAATAATACTTGAACATGCCAGCTGCTATACAAATGTAACTTCAGTACCCCTGTTTTCAACACTCTGCAGCTATTATTGAAGACACGCAGCACAAGGAAGAAATTTTCAATTTTCAGGATAGCTGATTGGTACTTTCCAGCAGCTTGTCTGTAATAATTGTCCATAATTTTGTACTCCGAGCCACCCGATGTTGACTCCACTGTACAGTAGGTTCCATAAGGCAGGCTTCCTGCATCTTTCGTGTCTCAGTCATAATTGTCCCCAGTTCAGAGAAATTTTGATTATTGGATGATAGGACGTTGAACTTGAAGGTGATTTTCAAAGTTTCGCTCTTTGTTTTTCCTTCGACACTAGTGGCTACACTTTTCTTTGGAGTGTCCCCAAAATTCAATGGCAGCTGGTCTTGATCCTGCCTCTTTTAGACGCTTCGACGAACTCTAAGACAGCTCAAAAAGCATGAGCGGTGACGACAATTACAGTACTGCACGGCCACTATTCAGGATCTAGTTATAGAAACTAATACTTACTTTCGAAGTTTCCGCAGCAGCTCAACAAATGCATGCACCTCTTTCTCTGAAGCGAACGCGTAGCTGTAGATCTATATTCAGCCTGTGTGCAGATCTAAGTCTTTGTATTATCTACAGCTACGTAGATCTACAAGACAACAATGTTCAATGACTATGTCATAATAGATATACCAAGCTGCATAGCTAGCGAACCGCTCTGGCCTGCAGGCCATAGCATGGGGAGAGCACGTCGCACGGACATGGGTTCGTGGTCACACCCGAACTATGGTCGGAAAAAATCAGGGGGGTTCATTTGAACCCCCTGAACCCCCCTGGATCCGCTCCTGTAGCCCGTTGTGCTCTACCCAGCAATGACAAAAAAAGTTATATCTATGGTTAGTGCAGATCAGAAGACACGCCATGTGACATATCAGAGCTGCATGCTCACCTGCTGTGTGCAGAACGGTGCGTTGGGGAAGAACACGGCGAACAAGATACCTATCAGGAGGTACGTGAGTGCCGTGCACGCGAAGGCAATGTTCACATCACGCATCTACACCACAGCGCACCACACAGCATACACATAATGCGAAAGTAAGAGCTTAAAAGCTGGCACGGTATGAGGTTTGGCCTAACCTGCACATTTTGCAAGAAAAGACCGATTTCACAATAAACGAATCTGACCCCCCCCCGCCACACACACACACACACAGAAGGATGTCGGGAGTAGAATTGGCCTTGAGTCTGATTCCACAGTGCGCACAGTCTTACCAGTTCAAGCCTCCACACCGACATGCAATGTTGAGTTTCTCACTGTGACTACACCAACAGTAATATGGCAGGCCCTACGTAGGGGACTTTCCCTAACCCACCACTCTCCCATATCTGCAATAAACGAGACTTACATTGCTCATGGGTCGACGTTGGTTTCTGAGAACTGGTATGACAACATGGTGGGCGCGCATGCTGAAAA